CGCAAGTCCGGTACTCGTGCCTTACTGCAGTTCTTGACGTTGCACCCGCGAGTGTTGATGGCTCCGCAGGAAATACATTTCTTTAATCAGAAGCGCATCTACGACCGAGGCTTCGAATGGTACGAAAGTCAGATGCCGGTGTCAAGTCCGGCACAGCTGGTAATAGAAAAGACGCCCGGTTACCTGGTCAGTCCCGACGCGCCAGCTCGCGTCCAGACCTACAACCCTCACATGAAACTTCTGCTAATCGTGCGGAACCCGGTGACCAGGACCATCTCCGACTACACGCAGGTGCACTACTCGAAACTGACCAAGGGCAAGCCTCATGAGCCATTTCAGGTGGCCATCCTCGATGCCAATGGCCGGATCAACCCAACGTACAAACCGATCCGCAACAGCCTGTACGCCGACCATCTGCAACGATGGCTGAGGTACTTCTCGCTCGACAATCTGCACATCGTCGACGGCGACGTGCTCATTAAAGACCCTATCGTCGAACTGACCAAGGTGGAGACGTTTCTAGGCCTAGAGCATGCCATCTCGGCCGATAGCTTCTACTACAACGTGTCCAAGGGATTTTACTGCTACCGGCACCCGGTCGACGGACCGATGTGCCTCGGCAGCAGCAAGGGTCGACAACACGTCGACGTCTTACCGAACGTCCGGCAAAAACTACGCCATTTTTTCGCACCCTACAATGAACGCTTTTTTCGGATCGTAAACCGGACTTTTGATTGGTAGCTCATCGATCGGGTATATGTTTATGAGTAAAATTTGGTAAGTGTGTCTTGTAGCATCGAGTCCAAATTTCGATACCGCCATTGACAATGCGTTAGTGATCCGTTGCTGTTAGTTATTTCATCGCTCAGCGTGGCACCTGCTCTGCAGGGCCATGCAAAGGAATGTTTCCTATTGGTCCACTTTCTCAGCGCCCTTTTTCATTGGCTTAGACGCTCACTCGTTGGGCAGTTGCATATTAAGGAACGAAGAGAAATGACCCTAACGCAGGAAGGGCAACAGGCGATAACATTCTGCGCTCGCTTCGGTGTCCATTGTTTCAATGAAGTTGTCTTCCTTTCAACGTATGAGGTCTTTGCGGACTGATTCAGGCAGCGTCCCTGATTAATGACATCAAAAGGGCGTTGGAGAATGCATCAGTGAGGCACTGTTGACTGGTCCGTTCTCTCAAAATTTCCTCCCCGCCAAATCGAATGTATTGGTATCTTCTGGCGATTCAATTGATACACTTTTAATGTTCAGTTGAAATCATTAGTTCATTAAAACTTTTGCCACGAATAAATCGCATTAGTGAACAAGTCTAACCAGTGGCTGCAGTCATATGAATCTAAGAGAATTACACTTATTGTAGGAAAACAGAAGGTAAGATTATTAAAGATGCTAGTGTTTTTTCAAGAAAAACAGACATGATAGCTGCCAACATTCGTAAAACTACACTTTCCATCCTCAGGGCAAACAGTTTATGTTTGTTCTGATGATGGCGAAAGTAGTTTGACTGAAACGTCGGCAGTTACGATAAAAACTACGATTTGTCTAATTCCCTCTGTCTACAGCCGATTAGAGTGGATTGCTTGGTATATAATTCGAGGCATGATTTGTCGCTGATATTCATCTTCAGTGCGTTGATCACTTCTTGTTCTGGTTTAAAAAGAGTCAGCGGTTAATTGGCAATGTTTATTTGAAATTATCAAAATTATTATTTGTAGCTGACATTCGGATTGCCGCTGTTTCTTTGACAACTTAAAAATTATTTTACAATTGCAACGCATAGTCTGCCTAAGACGAGTCACAGTATGGTCTTCTGGGTGATTTACCGGTATTTTGTTACTTTCTTCCTT